CAATATATTTGGCCGATGGTGAGTTTGGAATTATCTTGTTTCCTGCTGCTGTTGATATAGGTGTTAGTTCAAGTTAAATAATTGTAACGCCAAGTTAAGTAGTTTCAATAAATATTGCTTGCTTGCTTTTGCGAAGAAGGAGAAGATATTATGAGTTCGAGATGTTCATATCCCTACTATTATTAGTTTCATTTATGAACCCCCCTTCTCAATGCAATTCTGTTGAGCACTGCCTAAGGCTGAGGTGTTAAAACTATTTTTCACAAGTTTTTATTTTTAGAAATTCTAACTATGTTATCATCTTCTTTCCTTTATAATCCTTCCACATCAGTTATATCTAATTGCATTATTGTTGTTGCCCAAACTAAGTAATTATATATTCAACCACCTTATTATCAATAGGTGCTATTCTTATTATCCAATAAAATCAACCTTTATTAGTCCATCTTCTTTTCAATATGGCTATCATTAACTTTTGCGTTGCTAATGAAAGGGTTAATGTAACATAGCTAATGTATTTGCAATGTCGTACAGTTTACTTTGAAAGTTTCTATGATATTCTCTTATGCATATCACTATTCAGATTCTCTTACAATTAGCCCCTCAACTTTAATTCCGAGGTTATCTCCTCATCTATCTCCATTCTTCTTTGTAATTAACTTGATATTCTAACAATATTGTTTGATAATTATCAATTTTACCAAAATTCTATTTATTGTATCAAGCTCTTTGTTCCATTAATCCCGAGTCCCCCCATCTTGCAAATTAATTTTCTAACTTATGACTTATTTTTAAGAGAGATCTCACATATTCGGATTATATCATTTGCAAGTAGTTTATGCTAAGTTATCTCTCTTTTTATCTCTTTTAGAAGCATTTTAACCTATGGAAAATAATACAAACTTAACAATTGCCTTTGATGCAATTATATTATGATTGTAAACTATTTACTAAGTCTACTACTAGTTCTAATGCTATCATTTTCATATAACATCTTAAATAATCAATATAACCTTGATAATTTCTCTTTAATACATGATAAATATATTCTCATGGTACTAAATTATATTTCATTTCACAATCAATAAGCACCGTAAGTTGTTTCATTGATCCTTGCTGTTATTTTATTCTTTCCTAACATTAAAAACTCCTCGATATAGTCTGTGGCTTATAACAAATTGACTCTAAGTTGCAGACAAGATTTTCTAAACTAATGTTTATTCATCATCTCACATACTTTATTGTATGACTAAAATTTGATTCTTATATAACTTTCAGAATCCTAAATATCTTATTTGTCCTTAAAAGTTCACTCCAAAATGTTGTATTTCCATTAATTTCACATTTTATTAGTAATTAAACTTTAAAAAGGTTTGTTAATTAAATTATTTAAATTATTTTAATCTTAATGAGCAACACTGCCGTTGCCAGGTCCCAAGTCCTGGATGAGAAAAGTGGAGGGTTGCGTTTGGTAGTCGACAGCCAGCGTAAAACTTGTCAAACAATAATGACATGAATCCTTTAAGAAATTTTGTTA